GCTATTATAAGGTTTTACAAGTATAAGGTTAAAGTTTTTATAAGGTTTACAAGTTATAAATACCTTATAAAACCTTATAAGTACCTTGTAAAACCTTTTAAAATACATTGTAAAACCTAACAAAACACTTGTAAATACTCTGTAAAACCTTTAAAATACCTAAATTTTTCCCGCCAAAAATTTTCCCGCCAAAAAAATTTTCGCAAAAAAAATTGCGGAATCACTTTTCCCGCAAAAAAATTTTTTTGGCGGGAAAATTTTACAAGGTTTTTTAAAGGTTTTTACAAGTGTTTTGGCGGGAAAATTGTGGGATCACTTTTCCCGCCAAAAAATATTTTGTATTTTGTGGACCTAATTTTGTTTCAAATAAGGGTAAAATGGTCATTAAAAATTAAAAGAGGGCAAACTTAAAAATGGACTCTCAAAAGGGGCATTTTTGAAAAGTGGTATTGAAAAAGGGGCATTTTTAACAATTTCTCTTTAATATATAAAGGATAAATTTGCATTTAATTTATTTGTATAATTAGTGGTATATCAAATAGAGATATTTTTGTATATTAAGACAAATCTGAATATTGTGAAATAAGCTATGACACTTATTGTATAACTTGCTCATTAATTCACATATATAAGCATGTTACATTTTTTTTATAATCTATAAACATGTTACATATCTCTCCATATTATATTTATACATATAAAATTAAGTGTACACCGAACAACGTATCATTTTTAGCATTCTGTCTAAATCAAACTAGTAATCTTTCAAACACAGCTAATAGTTAACAGAATAACATAATCCTATAGAAAAATACAAGATGGGTGATAGAAACCTAGCCACTGGATAAATTCGATTCGATGGACCTCTTAAAATAGTTATTTAGTAAGTTATAGTAACAGCAAATACTAACCTTAACAGCTATGGTTAATTTGTTGATAAGTTGTGGGATCTATAAATAATGAAGCACCTTTAAGCCCGTTCACATCATGACAATCCTCTAATGGTAAAGTATTGAATTGAGTGAAAAACGAATATATCAATGCATTTTGAAATGAATTCTCTAGCTATTCAAACTACAATAGTACTATTAGTTTCTGTTATATCAGTTTCCATCGTTCGTGCTGGAAATATTCCCGCGGTTATAGCGTTCGGAGATTCGATACTCGATACCGGAAACAACAATTATCTTATGACTCTTACTAAGGTTAACTTCTATCCGTATGGAAGAGATTTTGTAACTCAAAGAGCCACAGGAAGATTTGGCAATGGAAGAATTCCTACAGATTTGATTGGTAATTTCTTCTTTAAAAATTAATGCTCACCAATTTTTGGTTATTAAAAAGTGAATTCATTTATTTTAATTTTGTGGGATGAAATATGAATGCAGCCGAAGGTTTGGGAATAAAGAATATTGTACCAGCTTATCGTAGTCCATTCCTTCAACCCAATGATATCCTAACCGGTGTTAGTTTTGCTTCTGGTGGTTCCGGTTTAGATCCTATGACCGCCAGAATTCAGGTAACTAAACTTTAGATAATGTGATTTGAATTTTTTTCATCTAACAATTATAATGACTAATAATTTCATATTTATTGCAAATAAGGGAGTTATTTGGGTACCAGACCAGTTAAACGACTTCAAAGCTTACATAGCAAAGCTAAACAGCATTACAGGAGATGAAGAGAAAACAAGATCAATCATATCGAATGCAGTTTTTGTCATTTCCGCTGGAAATAACGATATTGCCATCACATATTTCACAAATCCAGCAAGAAACACTCGATACACTATCTTCTCATACACGGACATGATGGTTTCATGGACTCAATCATTCATAAAGGTATAATACTTTGGAAAGTTCATTCCAAATTTACATATATACTTTGACTTAAAATTTTATTTTGATTATGGACAAAACAATATTGATATAGGAATTATATAATTTGGGAGCGAGAAAATTCGCGATTATGGGAACATTACCATTGGGTTGCTTACCAGGAGCAAGCAACGCTCTTGGAGGGTTATGTCTAGAACCTGCAAATGTAGTGGCTAGACTCTTTAACCGGAAGCTAGCGAACGAAGTCAACAACCTCAACTCGATGCTGTCAGGTTCTCGTTCGATATACGTCGACATGTATAATCCTCTTCTTGAACTCGTCAAAAATCCTCTAAGATCAGGTAGACTCTAAATCACCAAAATCTTTATTGTTTTAAAATTTTCATTGTAGGCAATCAATTTTTCACAATCATACTTTCTTTTCTTTTAGGATTTACCTCGCCAACTAGACCTTGTTGTTGTGCTCCGGCGGCTCCGATACCGTGCTTGGATGCGTCTCGTTATGTCTTTTGGGACATTGGACATCCATCGGAGAAAGCTTATCAGACTATTATTCCTCCGATTATCCAACAAATCCAACAAAGCTTCGCTTGATTTGGGTGTTTTCGTCCTCTAACAATTAATATTCTATTTTTTTTTGTCAACATTCAACAACGATTATTCTATTTACTGTATGTGTATATAAAAGATTTACTATACTTGTAAGTGTTAATTAAATGTTGCTTATCTTATATATTAAACCACCTCTATCGTTGTTTCCAAGTCGTACTACTCCACGCCTTTAAATATTTTCTTCAATTTTTGGGCCCTTTTGAAAGGTTTAGACCCAATTTTTCTGATCTCACTTAAAGCACACAGCTTCTACGAAATCAAAATGTTTTCTAATCCTGAAGCCCACAAATTTGTTTTTAGTTTGACCAAGCTCAAAGATTATTTTAAAAGGCTAGCCTTAGCAGTTAGCATCAAACAAACTACCCGCCACGCCACAGTGAGCCACACGACGAAGTGTTTTGTTATATTCTATTTCAATTTATATATTTTGCTGTAAAAATTATCCAATCATAAAAGTGTAAAAATCCATTAAAAAATGTTTACAAAAAAAAGGAAAAAAATAAAGATAAGTTTCCAATTATAAAGGAGTCAGCGCCTCGTCGACGTGGTTGCCTGGTTGGCTCCGAAGACCAAGGGAGGCTTCAGGTCAACGGTCATCCCTTTTTGAGATGATCAACCATTTTATGTAAACTTAAATTTTGAATTTGGGCAATATATTTAAATTTGATGTGTTAAGAATTTTTTTTTTTTGGTGTTAGACTATTTTTTCAAACAAGTAAAAATTATGGATTGGAGAATATGGAAATACACACATTTTGTAGATTTCTACTGTTTTTATAAGTACATCATGATTCATGATACTTTACAAATATAAATATCCAAAAAGTCCAAACCCTAAGGATAAGATCGGAGTATAACATACACATCAATGTTCAGTACTTCAAGAGTTCAAGTGGAATATAAACAGTTTAGAATAGAAAGTGTTCTGTAATATTTTAGTTCCTAAATCCTAAAATGTGTTGGGAAGAATCTTACATGAAATCATCAAATCCATTAGTTTATTAACACTTTTCACTTTTCTCTTCCGTCGAAACTTATCCACAAGTTTTGGATTTTGATGTTTCGTTTTCTTAAAGAGCCATTTGTGAATACTTAAAGTTATAACAACAACATGATTAATTTATCGAATATACATATACTTTGTACTTTTGTAGAGTTAATGAAAGGAAAACACCCCCAACATCTTATAATAAAAAATGTAAAATATTATAAAACTAAAAAGTGTACATAACTCTTA